GTCTGGAGTGCAGTAGCACACTCACAGCCACTGCAGCCTTAACCTTCTGGGCTGAGGTGATCCTTCCACCTCAGCCTTCCAAGTAGCTGGAACCACAGGCATGTGCTACCCTGCCCAGCTAATTTTCTTGTTTAATGTAGATATGTGGTCTTGCCATATTGCTCGGGCTGGTCTTGAACTCTTGAGCTTGGGCAATTCTCTTACCTCTGCCTCCCAAAGTGCTGGGAATGCAGGTGTGAGCGACTGTGCCTGGCTTTTTTTTTTTTTTTTTTAAATTCTCTCTTTATTTCAAAAGCTTTAGGGGTAGCAGTTTTGGGTTACATGGATACATTGTATAGTGACAAAGAAGTTTGGATTTTGAGTGTACCCACCACCCCCACCTGTGTACATCGTACCCTGTGGGCAATATTTCATCCCTCCACCCCACACTCATTTTTCATAGCAAATAGAATCCTAAGACTAAGCCAAGTACAAAACAATTTGGAAATTCCCAAGAAAGTAGTTCCCAGTTAAATTGATGACTAAGTTTTATATTTTAATCTAGACAGTCTGATTCATAATCTTTTAACTTCTGTCTGTTCTAAGCAATACCAAATACTTCCTGTTTGTGCTTGTTAAAGAGTTTTATTACATATTTATATAATGTCTGTTGGAATAAATTGTTTTAAGAAAAGACATCTAAACTTCCCATTAGTAATTTATATGCCTTTACTTTTTTCTTGATTCAGGCTAGATGTGTATCTGGCCCTTTGTTCCTTTAAGAATAGTATTACAGAAGGTCAATGTCTAGTTCTTTCAGGAATCGCCACACTGAATTTCAAAGAGGTTGCACTGGCTTGCCTTCCCACCAGCAGTGTGAAAACATTTCCTGTTCACCACATCCTCACCAGCATCTCTTGTTGTTTGTTTCATTAGTGATGGCCATTCTTACCCAGCAATCCCCCTATTGGGAATATACCCAGAAGAACTCAAGTCATTCTGCCAAAAAGATACCTGCATACACATGTTTATTGCAGTTCTATTCACAATAGCAAAAACACGGAACCAACCATGCTGCCCATTGAAGCTGGACTGGATTTAAAAAATGTGGTACATATACACAATGGAATATTATACAGTCATAAAGAAGGCAAATACATGGCCTTTGCAGCAACTTGGATGGATTTCAAGTCTGTCATATTGTGATCTATCACAGAAACAAAGAACAGAGTATCATGTTTTTACTCATAAGTGAACCCTGAACAATTATCATAAAAGGATTGGCAGTAGTGGGAAACTACCAGAGGAGGGTAGGTGGGATTGGCAGTTGAGGGAAACTGCCAGGGGAAAGAAGGGCACACCTCATCAACAGGGTACCTGCATAATAACATTTATATACCTAACCCTGAATTGTACCCCACATCATTAAAATAAAAGGGGGGAAAAAGAATAGCATTATGTATACTTTACGGAAAATGCCATTTAATTATTCTATTAGAACATAAAGTTTATTTCCTTTATTTAGGTAGTACCTCCTTACATTACTTAGGAATTAATCAAGATGTTTAATTGTTTATTTATATATTGTTTAGTTGAGTTATACTCAACTCTTATACTGAATAGGGAAAACCTCGCTTTTCTTGCTCTTATATCTTCTTGAGTTTTAGTATAAGAAAAAAAATTAAAGATGGCTAATACTCTTTTGAATGAGACAGAACTTTCTGTTTAATGTATTTTGAGAGGGAATAAAATATTTTCAAGCAAATTAGAGATAAAGGGAAGTGAAAGAGATTGAGATATGGTATATTGTAAATATCCTATTTTAATAAGTACTCATTTGTTCTTCAAGTTGGGAAAACACACTGAGTAGATCTACAAGTTTTAGCTTTTAAACTATTATTTGCTTCTTTACCATGCTTCATATAGTCTGAATTTTGCTTAAATCTTTAGAGAGGGGAAAGCAGTTGGTTGTTCTTGCAGTAGCTTTGTCTACTCTTAACAGAATCCCTTATTTCTCTTTTTTCTCTGCCTCACCTTTCCACTAACACAACAGATTCTTCTCGCTCACCGAAAAAAGGAAATACTTGGGAGACCACCGGGTAACCTATATCAATGTTCTCTCTTAGATTTCTTTTGTTATCCCGCAGTCGGGTTTTCCACATTTTAAATTGTATCTTCTGTGTGTTTTAAATTTTTATTTAAATTTTTTGCTTAAAATTAGCTTTGATGACTTTATGTGAATAATAAAGATATTGCTGAGGTAATTTTTTTCACACAGTGTTTTCTCTAAAGATCTTCTTAGGGTGAGGATGGTAGATCTCTCTAGTGTTACCATCAGAAACAGTTTGTCCTCTCTGAAAGTCGGTTTGCTTTCATCTTATGGCTAGGGTTTTCTCTTGCCTCAGTTATCGTAACTCATTTTTCTAAAGGACATTTATATCTTTGTTATCTGTGTTGTTTTATCTATCATTGGACTATTCTTTTACTAACTTTTTAAGAGCAGAAACTCTCTGCTGTGTCCCCAAAGAATTTAATCGTCATCCCTTTTTCCTCTGTTTTTGGCTATGGCTAGTCATCATGGGCCACTCTTCTAAAACTCTGAGAGTTATATCTAGAGCAGTGGTTAAAGAGGAAAAAGTAGATCATGAAGTTGACTATGAATGTCTCCCTTGTTGAATTTAAAAAATATTCTTTATTGAGCTTACTATAGCAGGGCTCCTACTTATAAAAAGGCAGTATTCTAAAGGTTTGGAAATTGAGTTTTGGAATTCAGAATAGATTTTTTCAAGAGCCAGTATTATAAGTTAGGAAATTAGGCTACTCTATAGCAGTCTGGATCATAATATAAACTGTGATCAAACCAAAGACAATTGCAATTAAATTGGTAGGGCAGAAACTTGTGTTACTTTTGCATGCAGATACTAGTGAAAAGCCTAGTGAGATACTTGTGGAAATTTCATGTGAATATATTCAAGAGCTTGATGATACTGCATCTATTATGTCTAGTTTAATTTTTTAAATAGCAAACAAAGCAAGAAATTCTTTTGAATATATTTTTCTGATTTCTTGACTGCTATGTTTGTGCATTCTAAGAAAACAGTCATTGAGATCAATAATCGGGTCCCCTTCTCTCTGGAAAAGTCAACAGACTAGCACTATTCTAAATGTAGATTTTAAAAAATAATACTACTTTTACCAAAAATATAATAATTTGAAATAATAAAAGAGAGATTTAACATCGTAACTAAATATGTCCATTCTAAAGTTATATTAGAATTTTATAATGTAATGTCTGAATTATATAATGTAAACTGCAACCCATATGTAACACAATGTCATTGATAGGCAGTTTCCATCTTGTAAGTAGGACTTATTCATGATATAGGCTGTACAACTGCAGTCATTTAATTTGTTACATTCTTGAAATAATATACACTAATATTAATGCGATAGTCTATTTTTAATTACAAGAATATAATATTTTAGCCACATTAGGAGTCTAATACTTTCCCAGCTAACCTATAGGAGTATATTAGCATTTTGCAAATAATATATATTTTTGCAGTAATATATATATTACTGTATTCTTTTTAGGGAGAACTATGGTAAAAGGAGTAGAAAGGGAAGAAATTTTATTCATTTTTATTTTTACTTTTTTGAGTTGGAGTCTCACTCTGTCACCCAGGCTGGAGTGCAATGGCATACTCACAGCCACCACAACCTCGACCTGCTGGGTTCAGGTGATCCTTCCACCTCAACCTTCCAAGTAGGTGGAACTAGAGGCGCATGCCACCATGCCCAGCTATTTTTTGATTTATTGTAGAGATGAGGTCTTGCCAAGTTGTCCAGGCTGGTCTTGAACCCCTGGGCTCAGGCAATCCTCTCGCCTCCACCTCCAAGTGCTGGGATTACAGGCCTGCCATAGACTGGGAAGAAGTTTTATAAAGAGAACTATGCAACCACTCAGGTCATGTCTTTATACTCCTCTTTTCTCATTCTCCCTGTCTCCATTACCTCTGAAGCACCAAAGATTGAGAATAGTTAGAGTAAGGAGGCTGGGAAATGTAGGAGAAAGGTAAACAAACTAGTTGATGAATAAGTATGTAAGAAGCAGGGAGTGCAAAGGTAACTTGATCTCTACTTCTTGCACGAAGTTCCTTACATTTCAGAAATAACTCATCAAAGTTGAAAGCATATGTCTTTGTTGTTAATACAGTTACCCTGTAGCAGCAGGAATTTCTCTTTCTTTTTCTCAGTGGTTCAATCCTGCCCCTGGTTGCTGGCGGGGGCAACAGGGACAGGGCGTTTGGGACAGGGCTTTCTCTAGGGTACCTTGAAAGAAATATACACAGAGTTAGAGGTTTATAAATTTGATATTTTAATGTATAAAATCGGGAGTGCTTGAATACATAAAACTCAAGTAGAAATGCAAGTGACCAAATATCAAGATGCTATCAGGAAATATTCTGGATTTCAGTCTGCAGTGTCCATATTCTGAGTATAATAAGCCTTTAATTTTATTTTAAATGTGTCATGCTTTTAATGCTAATAATTAAAACCAATTAGAAGAAAAAGTGCATGTATATAAGTTAATATTTTACAAGCCCAATTCATCTGTTTTAGCTGTACATGTTTTAAGTCAACCAGTACTTTACAGAGAACTTTCAAGTTTATGTTTTCTGATTTTCGAGGGATAATAAGCATAGTTTCAAGTTCATTGTAGCATTAAAAGTGATTTAGTAATCAATTTGTTTTCATTTCAACTCTCTCATTGCTGTTTATCTAGGGGATAGTGATCCTAGAAGAATGTCAACTTCCAAAAGACATTTTGAAAAAACAAATACAATTTGCAGACCAAGCAACTTCGTTAAACACTACAGGGAATCCTCAGGGTCCCCAAGAGTGTCAAGATCCTTTACCAGAACAAGATTTTGAAATGTCACCAAGCAGCCCTACTTTACTTCTTCGAAACATAGAAAAACAGGTAAAGTCAGAGTAGGGTGTGAGTGAAATAAAATGACTTTTCATCAATTTTATATAAAATATTCAAATAAATATCATTATATTATGTCTTCCTGGGATATTGGTTACTAAAGCTGACCACTTGACATTAAATACAATTAAAATATTTGGTATATGACTGACTAGTCTCTATTGTGATATTGATGTAATTAGAATTACTTAGGATGTTAATTCATTTTTACTCGGGTCAAAACATCTTTTTTTCTAACAAAATTGCTTATCATTGGAGTTTTTTCAAGGGAAAAGAACAGCAGTAACCTTATATTTGAATGGTCATTTGACTTGTTTACTGATCAGGATTTTTAGTGAAAGATACTATTGGAATATGGGTTTCTTCATTAAAAAATGATTATGTAAATAGAAAGTCAAAAAAGCTCCCAACAAATTACTTTGATTCCAAAACCTTTTCTGGTATCTAAGTCTTATTATAGATAACTCCGCAAGTTTATTCTGTCCTAGCAATCCTATATCTATGCTTTGAAATTAAATCATTTATTTTGATTTAAACTGGTGGTTCTTGAACAAACCTGACTTTTTAGGAGTTTGTTACTTTGTGACTAGATTGAATCTGCCAGAGCATAGCCATTTTTGACCATAGCCGCATGTTCTTCTGGAAAATGATATCGATTCATACTTGTCTACATCTAATTTTCCTGGGCTTTTCTGACATATGAAATAATTAAATACAGGTTACTGTCTTACTCCTGTTAAACTTAGATGTGGTGTAATTTCTTCCACCCAATATTTGTCAAAATTACAATTGCCTAGAGTTTTTCTTAATTGGAATGTATAATCAAAACACTTTTACGAATATTTTATAATTTAGAAAGTTATGTGGTAGCTAATGTTATATTGTAATGCACTTTACCATATAAACAATGATTTTATTTTATTTTTTTAAATTTAAGAATTGGGGTACAAGTACGTGGTTGTTACATGGGTATATTGTGTAGTGGTGAGAATGTTGGTTTTGGTGATATCCCCATATTCCCACTTCCCTCTTTCTTTTCTCTCCCCTAATCCTATAGGATCAATCCTCTTCCAGTTTGACCTTTGTTGTTTTATACTCCAGAGTAATTTATTTGCTGGCTCAGTCAAATCTACTTTGTCTACCTGTGGAAAAATTGGAAAATGGAAGCTGATTAAATTCATTGTAATAATGCACAATTCCAGAGGGATTTTCATTTCTAAAAGACATTTCTTGTACTTTTCTTTTCTTTTTAGGGTTCCAGTTTTTTGACTGGACCTGAGATAACATCAGAACTTGCTAATTGGTGGAACCCAGTGTAAAATAAAATTGCAGGGTTCATTCTTAAAAACAGTGGTTAAGAAGTTACAGGGACTACAAAGCACTAAGCCAGCACAGGAAGCTTCTGAGTAAGCCCTGTACACAGATGGCACGCCGGTGGAGCTGGCCTGGGTAGTGCATTATGTCTCTTTGCTGATGGAAGTGTCAGGGGCTTTGGTAGTGCAGGGAACCAGGAGTTGTGAGAGCTCAACATAGGAAGAGTCGAGGTAAAAGATGCAGAAAGGGGCAGCAGCAATCACTTGCAGAGGTGATTAATCAATTGCCTATGCACAAGTCAAGAGATGGCCAATTTTTTAAAAAACTTAAGTTGCTTGTAAATACTTGTTGAGGGAGACAGCCTATGAGTGAGTTCGGTGGTGAGGATGGCAAGCCAATTGTCATGCATCAGTTTTTTTTTTTTTTTTTTTAACATAATCTATTGGCTGGCACGGTGGCTCATACCTGTAATCGCAACAGTTTGGGAGGTGGAGGCCATAGGATTGCCTGAGCCCAGGGATAGGAGACCAGCCTGGGCAACTTGGAGAGACCTCCTCTCTACAGTAAATTACAAATTAGCGGGCACGGTGGTGCACGCCTATAGTGGTGGCTACTTGGAAGGCTGAGGCGAAGGATCACCTGAGCCCAGCTGGTGGAGGCTGCGGTCGCTACAGGCAGTCACTGCACCACTGCACTTCACCTTGGGCGACAGACACAAAAAAGATTATTGATATCCAACTGTTCACTGATAATCCTTTGACTTGATTAAAGTAGTTTTACTAGAGTTGGAAGTTAAAATATGAAGATGCTATTGAGTTGTATACTTATATCATTTAAAAAAAACTTATTGATAGTAATAATATGTGTTTGCAAGGTTAGATAATATATTTTGTTCATAAATAGAAAAGAGTCTTATTTTTAGTGCTCTATGTGATATATTCACATTAGAAACCTTGTTATGAATAGCTTGTAAGTGCTTTGACTTAGAGTTAATTAGCTTTTGTTTTCAGAGATCAAATTATGTTTCTCTTTTACTTTTATACAGTGACTTTCCTATCCCACATATAGGCTTGGATATATGATATTGTATTGGACCAGAGTAGGCTAAAGCTAGTGGTTGTAGTGCTGACTTTCTGGGCCTATGATTCACATATACCTGACCAGCAACCTCCAAATTTTTTATGATGTTTTTGGAGATGGGACAATGAGAAGTATTTCAGACTGGAAAATATGAGATACTCTATAAATATAATTGTCTGACTAAACTAATGAATACTTTCTAAGAGTATAGAGAATCCATTTGTGTTGATGATTTTGAAAATGAGATTTAATCTAAAAAAACTGAGTAATAATTTTTAAATTGAAGTCATTAGATGCATATTATCTCTGAAAAAATAAATGATGAAAACATTTCAGGAATTCCCTCATGAAAGACTTTTTGAAGGAATACAATATTAGGCTTAATTTTATCATATTCTTTAGTCTCATTTCTAATAGGATATTATTAGTTTCATACAAATGAAGTTTCAAAATAATTATTTCATATACCCTTTTATTTTATAATAGAGCACCTTGCATTCAATGAAAATAGTCACATAGGGGTGTGTGTGTGTGTGTGTGTGTGTGTGTGTGTGTAGAGAGAGAGAGAGAGAGAGAAAGAGGCAGAGACACTATATTAAGTGACAAAACCAGGTTTTAGAAAATTGATGTGGCATGATTTTATTAAAAGTATATGTGTGTGTGCCGGGCTCGGTGGCTCAGCCTGTAATCCCGCGCCTTTGGGAGGCTGAGGTG